GGCCTTTTTAAATAAATTTAACTAGTAAAATTCACCAGTGAAGCCATCTGGGCTGGGGATTTTTTTTTTTTCCCTGAGAAAGAGTCTTGCTCTGTCACTCAGGCTAGAGTGCAGTGGCAAAATCTTGGCTCACTGCAACCTCCGCCTCCCATGTTCAAGCGATTCTCCTGCCTCAGCCTCCTGAGTAGCTGGGATTACAGGCCCTGCCATCACACTCGGCTAATTTTTGTATTTTTAGTAGAGATGGGGTTTCACCGTCTTGCCCAGGCTGGTCTCGAACCCCTGCCCTGGTGATCCACCCTCCTTGGCTTCCCAAAATGCTGGGATTACAGGCGTGAGCCACCGCACCCTGCTGGGAAATTTTTTTAAGGGGAAGTATTTACTATGAATTTCTATTCCTTAATTGATATATAGGACTATTTGGGTTTTCTGTTTCTTCTTTTTTTTTTTATTTCAAAAATCAACTTTGGCAATAGCACATTTCAAGCATGAACACCATATTTTGGAAAACAATAGATTTGAGGCATATTTGTTATCTCATTTTTTACAGCAGAAGGCTAGAACAAAATTTGACTTGCTTTCCACAACTTTTAGAAATTTTTAACCAAGAATATCACTAAACAGCATGAAAGACATTTTCTGGGTGAGGCACTACACTGACAACATTTTCTCACTCCTATTTTTCTTCCTTTCCATGTTTTCTTCTTGGCTTTTCTTACTATTTTTGCTTGGTTTTTAGTACTTCAGCCTAGTTCATAGACCTCCCAGTGATACTCTTAGGTGTTGCTTCATTTAAAGTGTACTCAAAGCCAAACACATTACAGCTGGGCACAGTGGCTCATGCCTGTCATCCCAGCACTTTGGGAGGCCAAATAGGGAAGATCACTTGAGGTCAGGAGTTTAAGACCAGGCTGACCAACATGGTGAAACCCCATCTCTACTAAAAATACAAAAATTAGCTGAGTATGGTGTCACACGCCTGTAATCCCAGCTACTCGGGATGCTGAGGCAGGAGAATTGCTTGAACCCAGGAAATAGAGGTTGCAGTGAGCCAAGATTACACCACTGTGCTCCAGCCTGGGCAACAGAATGAAACCCTGTCAAAGCAAAACAAAACAAAAACAAACAAAAAAACCTGGCATGGTGGTTCACACCTGTAATCCCAGCACTTTGGGGGAGGCTAAGGTGGACAGATCACTTGCGGTCAGGAGTTTGAGACCAGCCTGGCCAATATGGCGAAATCCTGTCTCTATTAAAAATATAAAAATTAGCCGGGTGTGGTGTTACATGCCTGTAATCCCAGCTACTTGGGAGGCTGAGTCAGGAGAATAGCTTGAACTGGCAAGGTGAAGGCTGCAGTGAACTGAGATTGAGCCACTGCACTCCAGCCTGAGTGACAAAGCTAGACTCTGTCTTGGAAAAACAAAAAGCCAACACATTTTATTTTTTTTAGATTTCAGTGCTGATGACAGTTGTATTGGTTTTGATACATATATGCTAACATAAAATAGCGTACATATTGACGTAATAAAATTTTAACTGCTGGTTTCTCAAGCTGAAAGAGAAAAAGTAATTTTTTCCCTCTTTTTCTAAACTTGTATTTTAGGTTTGGGTACATACAAAGGTTTGTTACATAGGTAAACATGCATTGGGTGTTTGTTGTACAGATTACTTCATCATTCAGATGTTAAGCCCAGTATCCAATAGTTATCTTTTCTGCTTCTCTGTTTCTTCTTGAGAACTTTGCTGGTTTGTGTCTTTCAAGAAATGTAGCCACCTCATTTGTCAAATGTATGGTCATAAGCTGGGCACAATATTCCCTGATTATCTTTTTAATGTTCATAGGCTATGTAGAGATGCCCTTCTTTTTCTTTTCCTTCTTTATTTTTTTTGGAGACAAGGTCTTGCTCTGTCACCCAGGCTGGAGTATGGTGGTGCTATCATGCTCACTGCAGCCTCTCCCTCCTGGACTCAAGAGATGCTCCCACCTCAGTCTCCCAAGTAGCTAAGACTGCAAACATGAGCCACCACACCCAGCGAATTGTTTAATTTTTTGTAGAGACAGCGTCTCGCTGGGTTGCCTAGGCTGGTTTTGAATTCCTGGCTTCAAGCGATCCTCTTGCCTGAGACACCCGAAGTGTTGGGATTACAGGCAGAGCCGCTGCACCCAGCCTTTCATTTTTTTGTTGGTAATTTGTGTCTTTTTTTTTTAACTGATTAAAGATGAGGTTTATCAATTTTGTTGATGTTTTCAAGAGCCCGCTTATGGTTTCATATATTTTCTCTCATTTTTCTGTTTTTTAATTCATTGAGTTCCAGTCTTTATGATTTCTTTCTTTCTACCTGCTTTGGGTTTAGTTTCTTTGTCTAGTTTCTTAAGGTGGAAGCTTAGCAAATTTATTTTAGGACTTTCTTCCTTTCAAATAAAGCCATTTAATATTATAACTTTATCATACTGCTTTAGCTATATCACACAGGCTTTGATATGTTACATTTTCTTTGCTATTCAGCTCAGAATATGTTCTAATTTTCTTTGTGATTTCTTTCTATATATTCTTTTTTTTTTTTTTTTTGAGACTGAGTCTTTTTCTTTTTTTCATTGGGCTGGAATTCAGTGGTGTGCCTCCTGGGTTCAAGCAATTCTCATGCCTCAGCCTCCTGAGTTGCTGGGATTACAGGCGTGTGCCACCACACCCAGCTGATTTTTGTATTTTTTGTAGAGACGGGATTTCACCAGGTTGGCCAGGGTGATCTTGAACTCCTGACATCAAGAGATCTGCCTGCCTCGGCCTCCCAAATTGCTGGGATTACAGGTATAAGCACTGTGCCTGGCAGATTTCTTTCTATATATTCTTTATTGATATATACAGGCACACTAAAATTTTTTTAAATTCACAGGTGAAAAGGACAAACAGCTACTTCTAGATGGGTTTTATTCATGAGAGTGAAAGGTAGATGAACATGGGATAAGAAAAGTGGTAGGTAATAACAATGCTCACCACCATTTCAGTTCTGAGCACGAGAGGATTTTACTTCACTTCCTGTTTGAAGTTGGACATGGACACATGACTTGCTTTAGCCAATGAAACGCGAGGCGAACTGACGTATGCCAGTTTCTTTTTTTTTTTTTTTCCCTCATTAAACTTTTTTAATGGGTCCCAAAATTCTGTGACAAATTTTTGGTCAAGTTGTTTCCATTAAAAAGTACTGATTTTAAAAACTAATAACTTAAAACTGCCACAAGCAAAAAGAAAACCAAAGTGGTCCACAAAACATTCTCCTTTCCTTCTGAAGGTTTTACGATGCATTGTTATCATTAACGAGTCTTTTACTACTAAACTTAAATGGCCAATTGAAACAAACAGTTCTGAGACTGTTCTTCCTCCACCACTGATTAACACTGAGGTGGCAGGTATAGGGATAATATTCATTTAGCCTTCTGAGCTTTCTGGGCAGACTTGGTGACCTTGCCAGCTCCAGCAGCCTTCTTGTCCACTGCTTTGATGACACCCACGGCGACTGTCTGTCTCATATCACAAACAGCAAAGCGACCGAGAGGTGGATAGTCCGAGAAGCTCTCAACACACTTTCAAATGGAAACATCTAAGAGCCAGCGCCTGAGTCTTCTTGCTCCCTTCCTTACCTGGTGAAACTTGAAGACTTTTGCTGCGATCACAGCATCATAAACTAGTGGAGCGTCCCTCAGTCTGGGTTCCTAAGAGACTGCAATGAATATAGCCCAATCTAGCCCACCCTCACAGGATTGAGAATGCAATAGAAACAGATCTTTGTTGTTTAAAGCTATTGAATTCGGGGTTTGCTACTACAGCATACCGTAGCCTTTCCTGGCTAACAAGGGGACCTTTAGCTGTATTTGTAAGCTTTTGTTTATGTACAAACCTAACCTTTCATTTTTTAACATGGGTAGCAGGTACATGAGTATTTTCCATATAATTTTCTATCCCTTCTGTATGCTTTAAGTAACTTTTAAAAAATGTATTTTTATATTTTTTTGAGACAAAATCTCACTCTTGTCACCTAGGCTGGAGTGCAGTGGCCTAATCTCAGCTCACTGCAACCTCCACCTCCCGGGATCAAGCAATTCTTGTGCCTCAGCCTCCGAAGTAGCTGGGATTACAGTCGCACATCTCTGCCTGGCTAATTTTTGTATTTTTAATAAACATGGGGTTTCTCCATGTTGGCCAGGCTGGTCTCAAACTCCTGGCCTCAAGTGATCCTCCCACCTTGGCCGCCGAAAGTGCTGGGATTAGATGTGAGCCACTGCACCTGGTCTAAGTAACTTTTAAAGGAAAAACAACATTAGAGGTGAGGGACTAGAAGAGGCGGCGGCGGCAGCACCTGGGGTGATGGGTCCTTTTTTCTATTCCCCAAGTCGTTTCTCCATGTATCCTCTGGGTTTGGGAAGTCAGTGGGGAAAGGTTTGGCTATTTTTCCAGCCAGATCATCATCTCTGAGCAGCGGCCCCTCATCCTCACTCTGCTTGTCACTACCTGGTGCATTACATATTTAGTGTATGGTTACTGTCCCTCTCCCCTCGAGAACAGGGACTTATTTATAACCCCAGTGCCTAGAACAATGCCTGGCACATGGAAGTCACTCAATACTCTGGATTTATTATTATTATTATTATTATTATTCATTTTGTTTTTTTTAGACAGAGTCTCCCTCTGCCGCCCAGGCTGGAGTGGAATGGTGCGATCTCGGCTCACTGCAACCTCCGCTTCCTGAGGTCAAGTAATTCTCTGCCTCAGCCTCCCGAGTAGCCGGGATTACAGGTGCCCACCACCACGCCTGGCTAAGTTTTGTATTTTTAGTAGAGATGGGGTTTCACCATCTTGGCCAGGCTGGTCTTGAACTCCTGATCTTGTGATCCACCTGCCTTAGGCTCCTAAAGTGCTGAGATTACAGGCATGAGCTGCCGCGCTGGCCAATACCTGCTTATAAAGTGAGGATGTGCAAATATTGCCTCCCTCACCCACGTCTACCTAGGAAGGACGATGATCACACTTTCTGTCCCTGTTCCACGTTCCTTCTAACTTGCCCTTCCCCCAAAGTGAACACCCAGTGGAACTGACGAGTAAAGAGTGTAAGCAGGTCTTTACTCAAAGGTCCAGTTATTTGTCTGGGTGCTGTGGCTCCTGCCTGTAATCCAGCACTTTGGGAGGCCAAGGTGGTCAGATCACCTGATGTCAGGAGTTGGAGACAAGCCTGGCCAACATGGCAAACCCCATCTCTAGGCCAGGCACGGTGGCTCAAGCCTGTAATCCCAGCACTTTGGGAGGCCGAGGCGGGTGGATCACGAGGTCAAGAGATCGAGACCATCCTGGTCAACATGGTGAAACCCCGTCTCTACTAAAAATACAAAACATTAGCTGGGCATGGTGGTGCGTGCCTGTAATCCCAGCTACTCAGGAGGCTGAGGCAGGAGAACTGCCTGAACCCAGGAGGCAGAGGTTGCGGTGAGCTGAGATCGCGCCATTGCAGTCCAGCCTGGGTAACAAGAGTGAAACTCCATCTCCAAAATAATAATAATAATAATAATAATAATAATAACAATAAAAAGAAATCCCATCTCTAAAATAATAAAAAGAAACCCCATCTCTACTAAAAATACAAAAGTTAGCTGGGCATGGTGGCATGCACCTGTAATCCCAGCTACTTGGTAGGCTGAGGCAAGAGAATCTCTTGAACCCGGGGGCAGGGGGAGTGGAGGTTACAGTGAGCCAGGATCATGCCATTGCACTCCAGCCTGGGTGACAGAGCAAGACTCCATCTAAAACAAAAAAAAAAAAAAAAAGAAAAAAGTCTAGATATTTGTTCCAACACCACGTTACTGTTTAGTGTGTGTGTATGCTTGTGAGTGTGTCTGTCTGGGGCTGCTGGTTGAGGGGACTGGGGGCTGTGTTCCTTGTGCAGCCATTTCCTTCTAGTCTATTCCCCACCCCGGTGGGAGTCTGGTTAAGTGCGCCCAGAGAAGCACGGACAGATGGCAACTCCCCATTGGGGCCAACCCACAGCTCAGGGAGGGGCCTGGCAGCCGGCTTTCTCCCGGAGATGTGGGGAACCCTTCCGCAGCCTCTCATCCACTTCTTGGCTGCAGAAGTTCCCTGGCTACCTGGGCACGGAGACGCTCTGGCTCCACCAGCCCACGCAGAAGCCTGAACTCATGTAATCAGACATAATGACACATGGCTGGAGCTTCCAGAATCCCACGCTCTAATGACACACCCGCCTCCCAACCCACCTCAGGTGCCGGCAGAGCACCCAATTTGGTCTGGGGTCAGCAGGTGGGAGATCCAAGGGGTGAGGGAGCAAGGAGAGAAGCCTGGCCTTGGAGTTTGTCAACCTGTGTGCCAAGCCCAGTTTGGTTGCTTTTTGACTATGAGGCGTTGGGCAAGTCAATTCATTGCTTCAAGCCTCCATTTTCTCATCTGTAAAATGGGGTTATGTATTTACACCACAAAGGGCTGTTGTGAGGAGTGTGAGTCCCCTCCTGCTGGGAGGCTGCCAGTGAGATTGGGGTGGGTCTGCAGGAGACTGGCTGGCCATGCCCAAGGCCAGGGCCTGTGTCCTGGGGTGGGACCTCCTTCAGGTGTAGGGGAAGCTGCCACAGCTTCAAAGCCCAACTGGACAAAAGGCAGTTCTCCAAAAGCTCATTGAAGGACCACTGCCCACCACCAAGCTGGTTCCTGCCACCATGCTGAGCTAATTTTTGTATTTGTAGTAGAGATAGGGTTTTGCCATGTTGGCCAGGCTAGTCTCGAGCTCCTGACCTCATGATCCACATGCCTTGGCCTCCCAAAGTGCTGAGATTACAGGCATGAGCCACCACACCCAGCCGGTCTCCTCCTTTCTGGATCTGTGCCCCCAGCCTCATCAGGGAGAAACCTGAATCCTCTTGTCCATGCTAAGCTGTACCTCGGCTCCACCCCTGTGTATACTTATTTTTTATGTCAGCAGGCTGCCGCCTAGGCCTAGCTTCACAAGGTCCACAGTGACTGTCATCTTCAGGCCTCATGATTTTGACCAGATGCCCTGATAAAGGCAGGCAGGTAGGAGGAAGAAGGGAAAGAAGGGAGAGACGGAGGGAGGCAGTGAAAGGGAGAGGGAAAAGGCAGGTAGGCGCAGGATGGGTTTTTAAAGCTTCAGAAGGCTTTTCAGGAATGTTCAGTTTGTCTCTGGCCCATGTCCCTGATGCTGCCACTGGAGGGTAACAGAACTGAGATCTAAGCCCAGTCTGGGCTGCAGGTCCCAGAGGTGGGAGGGATCTGGAGGCCCCAGGTCCTGACTCCCCATAGCCATATTGGCCTTGCGAATTCATTTCACACACGCAGTGCAAAATTTTTCAAATTAAAACAAAATGGAAAAAAAAAAAAAAAAAAGCCCAATGTGGTCGCTCACGCCTGTAGTCCTGGCGCTTTGGAAGGATAAGGTGAGCAGATTACTTGAGGCCAAAGTTTGAGACCAGCCTGGGCAACATGGCGAAACCCCATCTCTACAAAAAATACAAAACTTAGCCAGGTGTGGTGGTGCATGCCTGTGGTCCCAGCTACTTGGCGGACTGAGGCAGGAGGATGGGTTGAGTCTGGGAAATTAAGGCTGCGGTGAGCTGAGATTGCACCACTGCGCTCCAGCCTGGGTGACAAGGGCAAGACCCTGTCTCAAAATAAATAAATAAAATGTTTTAAGTCGGTATAGATTTGTTAAGCTCAATGATCTGGTGATACTGCACAGTGATCCTTTGATTAACCGACTTAGCCATGGTAGGTGTGGGAGGGAAGGGTGGTCTCTACTCACGGGTTCTGGGGTCCCTTCCTTTTGTATCCAGAGTAACTCTGCTTATTTGCATTAGGACTCTCTGGCTTTGGATGCTGTTTCTTTTGATAAAGGGTTTGAAAGAAAATTGAGCTGGGTGTGGTGGCTCACACCTGTAACCCCAGCACTTTGTGAGGCTGAGGGGGGGCAGATCACCTAGGTAGGGGTTCTACAAGACCAGCCTGGCTAACATGGTGAAACCCCGTCTCTACTAAAAATATAAAAAAATAGCTGGGTGTGGTGGCACGTGCCTGTAATCCCAGCTACTCAGGAAGCTGAGGCAGGAGAATCACTTGAAACCAGGAGGTGGAGGTTGCAGTGAGCCAAGATCATGCCATTGCACTCCAGCCTGTGCGACAGGGTAAGACTCTATCTCAGGGAAAAAAAAAAAAAAGAAAGAAAGAAAGGAAATTGAGCCTGAGTGCCAGTCCTGCTGGGCGTCCTGCTTGCTGGGTGACCCTGGGCAAACCCTCCCTTCCCTGAGCTTCAGTTTCCCATCGGGAAAGGACAGGTGGGATTCTGAGTGCTGTGCATCTCAGTATCAGGTGTGTCACACACATAGCTGGGGACCAGCGGAGTCCTCTTGGGCCACTAGTTCCCCAGGCAGGGGAGGGAGGAACCACCTTCCTCACCCTCCTCCAGAGAAACAGGTCGCTGGCTGGGCCTGGGCCTGCAGCCAAGGGGAACTCGGAGACAGTGAGCCTGAGCCCTCCAGCTGGCAGACTGTGCAACTTCTACCAGCGCCTGCAAACAAGATATTGG